TCGATGGGTGTGCCACAGCTGATTTGACGTGCTCATCGCAGTAGACTCGACGCATATGCCACGGCCCACTGAACGCTAACCGTAGAGCTCATTGTAGTGTAATGCATCAATGCCATCCGTTTTGGCTCCCCATGAGATATGACACAATTAGAAGAAGATGGAACCATACATATGTATACAGATTCCTGCACAATGTAATTATAATACCTGATGAATGGATAGTACACATGACCAAATTCTGAAGACATCTAACAAGATGTGACATGAAGTCTGGAGGTTTCTGGTGTTATTTGAACCAAAATATATCATATTGAAGAGATGATTGATGTTATAAATCACCAAAATATGCCCAAAAAGTTCATAAAATTCCACATATTTGTGAACATTTTGTGACAAATGCTCAGGGGGACCTTCCAGATATCCTCATTTTTGTACTTATGTGCTCCTATTAGCTCCTATATGTTCCTATATACTGTAAAAGGCCCCAAAATGGCTTTATCTGCACAGATAGTCCAGTAATTACTTGACATCCCCCCCCTTTATGATACTAATTCCCAGAGGGTGTGTTTCCTGATGTAGCCTCCGCTGTCACCGGGAAGCGGTTCTCACAAAGACTCAGCGACCCGAGCACGCGATACAACCCTCGGCGGGCACGATGGCTTACCATACGCGCAAGGTCATAGGTACAGGTCGGTTGCCTTGTACGATGCATGCTGAATACCAGTCATCGTAGAGGCGTATACAATGGAAGATCGGTGCCTTTTGGCAGGTGCAACTTCAAACCAGGAAGTCGGCTCGATGCTCTCCGTCGAGGCGATTCGACGCGCACGGCTATCCTGGCATGTATGCGCTGCGCTTATTCATAATGAGCGGCATCTCTCAACATATGGATGGACGAAGGTCGCTCGTGAGTTCGTCGCAGATGAGCCAGGGCGCCGAGCTAGCGAACTCACTTAGTACCTTAGCTCCACGGCCCACGCTCTCCTTGCAGTTTCGTCTGCTCGATCGGGTTCGCAGGGCGAGGACCATGCCGTATCCGTACGTTTCGACGTGCAAGCCCGTCCGCGATCGCCTGGCTCTCGTGCTTGTTCTTGTCCGCAGCACGTCTCTCAGACGGCTGCCACAACGGCCTCAAGGATGCGTGCATATGCCACGCGACCAGAAAGCGCGGGGATCCGTTCGGTATAGGTCTTGCGCTATGATGTGTCGCTGCAAAAGGAGCTGCAAGACGCTACGGGGGTGAGCGTATGCCACTATTTACTGCCAGACGCGCTTGCGCTCATCTTGGTTTCCACTCGTGCAAGACAACTTGGATTCTGCTCGTGGCTAAACGATTGATCCATGCGCTGCGCGTCGCACTTCGGCTGGAACGCTGCGGGATCTCTCGTGAACCTCGATGACTCGTACCTGGTCGGTACCTAATAGATCTTGTGAACCTTTGGAGGGACTGTTGGACGACGTTCTCGGGCCGTCCGAATCAGCGCTGCAATAACGACAGTTGCACCACGTCAGGTGCCGGGAGTGTTGGCGTCGACCCAGGGATCTCATGAGAATCGGCACGGTTTCGTTGGCTCAGTCTGTCTAGCTATTGATTTATCGAATTCCAAAGCAATATCACTTGAAGTCCTTGCTTGCGATGACTGCGATACGCCACAGGAATCTGCGTACAGATGATATTACAGCCTCAGAGCTCCATGCGGGAATCGGGAGTCACGATGAAACGAGGAGCAGGAGTTCGGTGGTATGAGGGCCTATGATGGGTGTCGCATTATCGACAGACATCTCCGATCACAGCGCGGCTTGCTGAAGTCCATCATTCCAGTGCACATAAGGTATGCACGATGTCCATCCTGCCTGCAACAATACATCGCTAACTGAAGATAAAAGCGATGCTTCTGTGCATGTCATGCCTATGATTAGCTTCATGGATGGCGATGCACGCAGAATAACCCACCGTGCTGCAGTCATGCGCCATTCCCAGGCGATACACGTGCGAACAGCCATCATCGCCGCCTCAACCCCGGTCAAAAGTCGCACGGCGTGAAACGGCGGTGAATAGCGCAGGGCGGCGGTCAGGTCAAGAGGCAGGCGGAAACGGATTCCGCGACATGATGATACCTTTCGGCATGTAACGGCAAGCTCGGTTAAGTAGTTGTTTCGAAGCAAGCAAACTGGTTCAGAGGGGTCTTGCCGGGCATGCCGACATTGTCAAAGCCGCGGGCGACGGGGTTGTAGCACGAAGGGCTGGTGCAAACTCCAACGAGACTGAATAATCTATAGTGCTCACCACAAACTTTGTTATACATACAGCACGGCACACAGTTCAAGGAACGCATTAGAGGATTCGAAATGCAGACCGGGAAAAAGTTCAAAAAGTCGTTCACAGGCGGGATTGAACTGAGACGCGTCGACTTGGGTGACTCAATGCCGCGACTATGCATTAACCGTTAGACCAGAGAGACGTGTCTGAATAAGCGCAACTGCGGGTATATAGCTTTGTTAACGGCGTGCAATTACTCGTAACTCTTATAGTCTATCAATTGACCACACATCCATCCTCGGACCAAGGACAGAGGCTTTCTGACGCAGAGCATAGAAGTCAAATAAAAAAAACGATTCCTCAGGGGATCGAACCTAGGTACGGCAACTTGACGGGAAAACTAAAATTGCCAGCGAACTGACGTGGTAACCACTGCACTACCGACCAATGATAGTCTTTGGATAGATATTGTATATGACTATGTTACCGGCAGACGCACGCCGCCGGGCAAGCCGTGAGCCCATTGCCAAGCAACTTCCACCCCTCTGCCGAGCTTCCTCAGTCCGTATTGGGCGACGGAATCTGTTAGCCGGCGTGTAGTAGTAGTTGTTTAGAAGCATCAAAGCGGCGTCATCATGTAGCAAAGTTGATTTCCGCCTGCCTCTTGGGTCAGGTTATTCCGCCAGCGCAGAACGGCATGGCGATGCAATGTCGCGTGTGGAATTCCCAATTGGGTGCAGTCTCCTGCCCTTTTTGGTCTGACTCGGACGTCCCTCGTCGGGCTACCTGCTCTGACTCTGAGCTCTCTGAGCCTCTCAGCCTCTGTCTGTGCATTGATCCTCTTCACGCTCTGGAACTGTACAGTACTATATGACACCCTCACTTCGTCACTCCCGCCGAATCGTCAGAATTTGATATCTCAACATCTACCACACCGTTTCGCTTTGTTCTTGCTCTGAGAGCTTAGAGTACATATCTGAACATGTTCCACGCATTAGCAAGAGAATTAATCTGCTGAAACTCGAGCAATGCTACTTCGAGCAGAGTCACGCTGTGATGAGCTGCCGATGCGCGGCAGGACAATAGCCGAGCGGACTTCAAAAACCGCAAGCGCATTGACGCCCAGCCGCGCAACGCGCACCGACACGTTGACGGAACACAACGACAATCTCTATTTCATCTTTATCGATGTCTTTTTTTTTGATTAATGGGGTCTGCAAGGGATTAACAAAGTAGGGCGATGACCGGCGCGGGACGAGAAACGGCGCAACGAAGAGTCTGGCGG